CAGGCTTGTCTAAATGTTGTGCAGCAAACTTTAAACCAGCTTCAACATGCTTTTTCTTCAGCAATAGAGCCTTGCGTGGTGAGTGTGCATACAGGCCACGGCGGTTGAGTGCATTACTTATTGGTTTCTTTGAAACAATTGTACATGCTAATTGCAGGTCTTTCTGAAGCTCTCCACAAGTGGTCCTTGGCTCTTGGACAACTCTTCGGATAATTATTTTCACTCCTCTGTGAGAAATCTTGCGAGGACCACCTGGTCGTGGCCGGTTTTTGGTGAAATGATGTTCTTACACTTCCGGATTATGGCCCCAACAGTTCTCACTTGAACATTCAGAGGTATATAAATCCTTCTGTAACCAATGCCATTAGTATGTTTTGCAACAATACGGTTGCGAAGGTCTTACGATACCGAACGATATGAAACATTATATCGTTGATACATTTTTTAGCTATATCGCCCAGCCCTAGTAACAACCCAAGTAATCCATACATACAAAAAAAGAAAACTTAAGTTCTGTTTAATAAAATGGAATGACCCAGGGGAAAAGTATTGAACGCTTACTGAAATGTATTTAAATGTATTTAATACTTCGTACAAAAGCCTTTGTTGGTAATGTATCGGATTCCTTCTGTATCCAATGCCATCAGTATGTTTTGCAACAATAAGGTTGTGAAGGTCTTGAGAGAGCTCTTTGCTTTTACCCATCATGAAATGTTTCTTGTGTGACACGTTGGTCATGAGACACCTTTTTATAGGCCATCAGTTGGGACTGAACCAACTAATATTAATTTCCACTGACAAGGGGCAGGATTGCTTTCTAATTACTGATAGATTTAAGCTGGTGTCTTGGCTTTCCATGCCTTTTTGCACCTCCCTTTCTTCATGTGTTCAATACTATTACACAGAACTTAATTTCCGAACATATTTGTTTTGCTTTCTTTGTATATATGGGTTACTTGGGTTGGTACTGACATCTGGTGAAAATTTCATGTCAACAGCACCTTTAGAAATATATTTACTGAGAAAAATGGTGACGTGTTCAATACTTATTTTACCTGCTGTGTGTGTGTGTGTGTATATATATATATATATATAGATATAGGAATTAACCTTGTCTTCTCAAGAATTAGGATAAAAGTCATTAATTGCTTTTGAACGAACAATTACTATTAAATGTTAAAAGCACCTTTGAGCTATAGTATATAAAGGCCCGATTCCTGTCAAATTATTAAAACATGGAACAGAAATTGAAATATACCTGAGATTAAGACAATATCAAAATACAGTACGATTAAAAAATGCTTATTAGGTCATACAGTGCAGTTTAAAATATAAAAAATTACGGGCCAGTTTTACTAACAGCTTGCACCAGCGCAAACGTTTTTGTTTTGTTTTTGCCGTTAAACTAGTACTGTCAGGATTTACTAAAGACACACAGTGAAGAATTAGCACTGAAAAAGTATGGACACCGTTATATTTGTGCCTGACCTTATTGAATATGCATTTGTAGGAGTTTCCCTATCAGACGCAAAATTGATGGGAGCAGAGTATTAAAATTAATCACACAACGAGATTTACTAATGTTTGCGCTCGTCAAATTACTGGAATTTGCGCCATTATTTAATGCCCCCAAAAAAGCATGTCTTAAACTATTTTGTGCTTGAAATGGCTGCAATTGTTGTTGCTAGGAGAAGGCACCACAGAGAACATTCCACATCTACCAAAACTTTTTGCAACCCTTCATGTTTTGGTTCTTTTCAACATACTGTGGCTTTATTTCTTTATTCTTTATTTGTGACTACGCTAATTTGCGCTGCGCTTGGTATATTGTGTTGGTTGATATGTAAATGAGATGTTGCATCGGTGTTCTTTAATTTGCACGCTGTTAGTAAATCACCCGCAGAAATTTCCCCTCTCATTGGCGCTGTTTAGGAATCGCGCTCTTGCGCTAATTTGCCCTATTTAGTAAAACTGGCCCTAAGACTGCACAGCAATTTAGATTTAAAAAGTTTTAAAGGTTAAAAGAGAACTCAATATGAATTAAAAAAAAATGTTTTCTATTTGATTGTAATTTTCACATTTTCGTATTAGCTTTACAAACCTAAAAATTAAAACTGATTAAATGTATTCATTAATTAAATTTATTCATTTGGCAGATGCTTTTAGCCAAATAGCTTAATGGAATAGTTCACCCAAAAATGAAAATTTGCTGTTAATTTACTCACCCTCAGACCATCCAAGATGTAGGTGACTTTTACTCTTCAGTAGAACGATTAAGAAGTTTTTTTTTTGTTTTACTATTTATTTTTGGTTGTTGAACCAGTTCAACAAATTGGACTGAATCATCTGAAACAGTTGGCAAGTCGAGCAGCACAGATCTACAAGTTAATCAATCAAAACTCACTTCCAGAAAAAATGTATGGTTAAAGTTAAAATTCAAGTTTTTATGATTTCTCTTTATGAAAAAAGGTGAGCTGATGATAACTAGTTTATTCACTTTATATGCTCTAGACATGTAAAACCGTGTTTCTTGCACAGAACAATCAATTCACAGTATTAAATATAATTTTGTCTTCCTTGATATGCATTTCTTTTTTTTATTCTCAAAAACGGGCAGCCGCTGACTTGCATTTTATGAATCACCAAAAACCATGGTATCAGCTAAAAATCTTCTACTCAGCAAAAAGTCACCTACATTTTAGATGGACTAAAAGTGGATAAATTAGCAGCAAATTCTAATTTTTGGGAGAACTATCCCTTTTGCACACTCCATACAGGGTCAATCCATTATTAGGGTTTAAATAAAATTAACCAATGAGGCAAAATTCACAGATGCATAACGTGATGCCTCTGCCATAATGCTGCACACAGTAGAGACTTCGGAAACTTGCCTTAAGGGGCCAAAGGTTCTTAGCTTTCAAATATAGCGACCACTCACATACTAGAGTCATTTAGCATTAATGATAAAATAGTATTAGGATAACCTTCAGGACAGAAATCTTATGACAACCAGCATGCTTTGGAAATTATGGGAAATAGACCTCAATTCATATGTCTATCCCTTCTTTTGGTAACATACAAAATAGAACATGTGAATGTCAGAGATTAGGTCAACAGGGTGAGAGAGAAGCTTGTACTTCCCATTGTGGTTTTCCTCCCAAAGGTAGGTCATGCCGTCGTCTGTGGCAGGAGAGCTGCAGTGATCCAGGGACACATGAAGCCAAGGGTCTTTGATGACCTTTTCTGATTTTACATCGACCAGCCCAACAACTTTCAACACAACGTGACGCTGATAATTTTCAAGTGCCACACTCTCCACTTTGCCAAAGAACACTAGAAACACACACACACATAAAAATGAGATCACACAACTTTCAACACCACATGACGCAGATCATTTTCAAGTGCCACACTCTCCACTTTGCCAAAGAATACTAGAAACACACACACATAAAAATTAGATCATTTAGTCTACTTCCAAAAAATGTTTAGTATTTCATATTTTTATTTTTTTTTCAAGAATATCACCTGTTTTATTGCACATTTCAGGGATAAGGTCTGTTAGGGGTTTAAGTCTGTATTCTGCAGGAGAGCTGTTAGGCTTTGGTGTTGGTTTGAGATGTTCAGCACAGCAGCTCCACAGGGATGTGTTGTAGTAGTAATGCCCACAGCAATGGTGGTTTGGTTTGGTGTCATAAATTATGGAATTGGTTGAGGAGGAACAGCAAGTTTGATTGTTATTATATTGTAGCAATAGGTTTCCACAGCACTCTGCTTTTCCATGTAAATGGGTTAGGTTGTAGAGATGACCTGAACAGCATCTCAAGAACTGGTTGTGGTGGTCATAGACTTCTGAACCACAACAGAAATTGCCATTCATCTTGTTGTGGCTAAATAGAACAAACAACAACATCAAAAAAGTTTGAAAGAAAAGTCATTCATGCGGTTTTAAAATTATTGTGGGTTTATCAGGTGGCCTGGATGACTGAGAGACTGTTCTAGAGCTGTGCTATATGAATATGTCTTCTTTGAGAAATGTAGTGCCAGTAAGTACATTCTTATGCTGTCTCTGCATGTATCAGTTTGGTTTGAATTTCCAGTTACAGACAAAGCCTAGTTTTTCAAGACAGCATGGGCAGAATGAAATAAGGCTACAGGCCAAACAATAATCTGCCATTTTTTACACACACACACACACACACACACACACACACACACACACAAAGAGATAATTTAGTCTGCTTCCAGAAAATCCTATTTCAGTTTGCACCACAATAAATGTTTAAAAACATCACCTGTTTTATTGCACATTTCAGGGATCAGGTCTGTTAGTGGTTTAAGTCTGTATTCTTCAGGAGAGCTATTAGGCTTTGGTGTTGGTTTGAGACGTTCAGCACAGCAGCTCCACAGGGATTTATATGCTCTAGACATGTAAAACCGTGTTTCTTGCACAGAACAATCAATTCACAGTATTAAATATAATTTTGTCTTCCTTGATATGCATTTCTTTTTTTTATTCTCAAAAACGGGCAGCCGCTGACTTGCATTTTATGAATCACCAAAAACCATGGTATCAGCTAAAAATCTTCTACTCAGCAAAAAGTCACCTACATTTTAGATGGACTAAAAGTGGATAAATTAGCAGCAAATTCTAATTTTTGGGAGAACTATCCCTTTTGCACACTCCATACAGGGTCAATCCATTATTAGGGTTTAAATAAAATTAACCAATGAGGCAAAATTCACAGATGCATAACGTGATGCCTCTGCCATAATGCTGCACACAGTAGAGACTTCGGAAACTTGCCTTAAGGGGCCAAAGGTTCTTAGCTTTCAAATATAGCGACCACTCACATACTAGAGTCATTTAGCATTAATGATAAAATAGTATTAGGATAACCTTCAGGACAGAAATCTTATGACAACCAGCATGCTTTGGAAATTATGGGAAATAGACCTCAATTCATATGTCTATCCCTTCTTTTGGTAACATACAAAATAGAACATGTGAATGTCAGAGATTAGGTCAACAGGGTGAGAGAGAAGCTTGTACTTCCCATTGTGGTTTTCCTCCCAAAGGTAGGTCATGCCGTCGTCTGTGGCAGGAGAGCTGCAGTGATCCAGGGACACATGAAGCCAAGGGTCTTTGATGACCTTTTCTGATTTTACATCGACCAGCCCAACAACTTTCAACACAACGTGACGCTGATAATTTTCAAGTGCCACACTCTCCACTTTGCCAAAGAACACTAGAAACACACACACACATAAAAATGAGATCACACAACTTTCAACACCACATGACACACACACACACACACACACACACACACACACACACACACAAAGAGATAATTTAGTCTGCTTCCAGAAAATCCTATTTCAGTTTGCACCACAATAAATGTTTAAAAACATCACCTGTTTTATTGCACATTTCAGGGATTAAGTCCATTAGTGGTTTAAGCTTGTATTCTGCAGGAGAGCTGTTAGGCTTTGGTGTTGGTTTGAGATGTTCAGCACAGCAGCTCCACAGGGGCGTGTTGTAGTAGTAATGCCCACAGCAATGGTGGTTTGGTTTGGTGTCATAAATTATGGAATTGGTTGAGGAGGAACAGCAAGTTTGATTGTTATTATATTGTAGCAATAGGTTTCCACAGCACTCTGCTTTTCCATGTAAATGGGTTAGGTTGTAGAGATGACCTGAACAGCATCTCAAGAACTGGTTGTGGTGGTCATAGACTTCTGAACCACAACAGAAATTGCCATTCATCTTGATGTGGCTAAATAGAAAGAAATTGGAAAGAAAAGTCATTCAACAACCAACACAGAAACTGCACTGTGTAACTTTTTCAGGATGTGGTTTTAAAATGTCTTGAGGGTTTATTGGGTGGCCTGGATGACTGAGAAACTCCCACTCTAAAGTTGTACCAACTGAATAAACCTTCTGTGAGAAATGCAGTGCAAGAAAGCACGTTCCTATGGTGTCTCCGCATGTGACCCCTGATTTTCCAGTTACAGACAAAGCCTCATTTGTAGAGACTTCATGAAATCACGTTTTGCCTAAAGCTACTAGATTTTCAGAGATTCACAAAGGTAATGCTATTTGTTCCCTGACCTGAGACTAAGACATATTTGAGCTGGGACATGCATGGAAAGACCAGTAAGTAACTTTTTAGTTTTACCCCTAAAGAAATTATATATACTGATTGACAAATATGGTCTACATAAGGCTCATCACCACCTCATGGTGGTTGTGTTGTAAAGATCAAGGGTCAAGGATTGGTTGGTTAGCATGGCCCACATATCCCATACTGTTAACTAAATAATCTGGATCTACAGAGTCAAAAGTCACTCAAAAGTTGCTCTACATTGTGAAAAAAATAAATTTAGAGTTGTAGATGGCCCATAAGCGGCAAAAATGTTTTTAGTTTTCCACTGCGTGTCTTTAGTACATCCGGACAGCAGTTTTTTGATGGCAAAAGAGGGTTTGCACTAGCACAGACCGTTAGTAAATCTGGCACTAAGTTTGCTTTTAAATCATATGAAATCTTTGTACTCTGTGGGCCTACCTGTGTTCGTTACAGCAAATATGCGTGCGATGATTGATGGTTTGTCCTCCACAGCAGTGCTCGCCAAGACGAGGACGGTTCGACATTTGGCAAGTAGTGTTTGCTGGAGTATATATAACACCTCCAACACACTCTGACTGCTCAGATACATTGCGATAAAGGATTCCATTACAGCACAGCACATTGTCATCTGACAGAGTGTAAGAATCTACGCCACAGCACTGAAAGACACAGATATACATAGTACTGTACAATAATGTTTGCAGAGTTTTTCAGTACTGTATACTGTGATTTCTCCAAATACTTTATAAGCACATTTTACAGAAAATCACAGTGTTCAGATAAATCTCCAATTTTTTTTTTATTTCTGTTTCTGCAGAACTAAGCTTCATGTCAAAAGGCAATACCTTAGTAAGTGCTGATGCCTTCTTATACAGATTCCCTGAGCAACACATTTCTTCCTGGGGATTGAAGGGTTTTGTTCCACACTTTAATTCTAGAACAGAAGAGTGTGAGATTATTACAACAATAACTATACAATCATCATAATTTCCAACAATGATGAGAGGTTAGGCAAGTATAAACTGAACAGACTATCAATAGATACTGAATCTTAGTTAAATTTCTTCTTATAGTAATTTGTAATTCTATTCACTATTCAACTTATTTCTTAGGATACAGTTTTTCTTTCTCTTCTTATTACTACTTTTATAATATTTCTATTTTAATATATAGTCTATTGCAGTGTTTCCCAACCTTTCTTTAGTCGCGGCACCCTTTGGAAATGTTAACAAATTTGTGGCACCCTACAAAATTAATTTTGTCACAATATTTGAATTTCTAACTTCGATATGATACTTTGAAAAGTATAGATATTCGGTACAGCAGGGAAGAACTGCAGAATATACTGTCATACAGATATTTTTAATATTATTAAAAAAAAATTGTTCATCAATGGTGGCAATCAGTAGGCTAATTTCTAATGAAAAAAAAATTTATATGCCAGATTTTTTTATAGGCGTTTTTTCTTATGTAAACAGCATGAACGGTATATGAGTGGAGCACTCACATGGGCCGTGAGCGACTGAGCGGAACACACACACACATAGAGCGGGATAATACGCAGAGCGTCACACCACGTGAAAGTGAATCCTGAGCGGTGAACTAATTTTCGGCAGCCGGAATTTCAGTGCATCTCTAATTATTGGCGACATCAGAAATGGATATTATATAATAGCTGCTCTTTTTTAACATTTTAGCAATTTAAAAATATTAAAAAATGATTTTTTTACACGGCACCCCTGCTCTCGACAGACGGGCACCCTGGTTGGGAAACACTGGTCTATTGCATTGCATTCTGTGTGGAGAGTCGTACCAAGCATTTCACTACATGTCATACTGTGTATGATTGTGTATGTGACTTATAACATTGAACTTGAAACTGAAAAAGGATCATTATCCGATCAAGGAGAGGTTTGTAAAAATATTAATACACAATGAGGATGCCAAGTGCTTTACCTGAGTTTTTGGGGAGTGTGCTTGAGATTTGCAATTACACATAAAAACAAACACAAAAAAATTGTTATAAAACAGACCTGTAAAATTATTTTTTACAGTAGTCAACATGGAACATATACTGTTGACAAGGTTTAACATTCCTACACACAAACACATGTATGTATGTATGTATGTATGTATGTATACAGTTAGGTCCATATATATTTGGACACAGGTACCATTTTTATTATTTTACCTGTTGACTAAAACATATTCAAGTTACAGTTATATAATGAATATGAGCTTAAAGTGCACACTCTTTAATTTGCTTTAATTTGAGGGTATTCTCATTACAATTGGAGGAAAGGTTAAGGAATTACAGCTTTTTAATATGTACCTCCCCCTTTTTCAAGAAATCATAAGTTACTGGACAGTTGACTCAAAAGCCCTTTCAAGGACAGATGTGGGCTATTCCTTCATTATTTCTACATCAATTAAGCAGGTAAAAGGTCTGGAGTTGATTTGCATTTGGAAGCTGTTGCTGTGAACCCACATTGTGCAATCAAAGGCACTCTCCATGCAGATGAAACAGACAATTGTTAGGCTTCAAAAACAAAACAAATCCATCAGAGAGATAGCAGGAACATTCTGAGTGGCCAAATCAACAGTTTGGTACATTTTGGGGAAAAAAAGAATGCACTGGTGAGCTCAGCAATGTAAAAAGGCCTGGACGTCCACAGAGGACAACAGTGGTGGATGATCGGAGGATCCTCCTCATGGTAAAGAAAAACCCTTTCACAACATCCAGCCAAGTGAAGAACACTCTCCAGGAGGTAAGTGTATCACTGTGAAAGTCTACAATCAAGAGAAGACTTCACGAGAACAAATACATAGGGTTCACCACAAGGTGCAAACAAGGCCAGATTAGACTTTGCCAAAAAAAACATCAAAAAAATCCAGACCACTTCTGGAAAATAATTCTTTGGATGGCTGAAATTAAGATCAACCTGTACCAGAATGACGGGAAGAAGAAAGTATGGAGAAGGCTTGGAACAGCTCGTGATCCAAAGCATACAACATAATCTGTGAAACATGGTGGAGCAGTGTGATGGCATGAGCATGCATGGCTTCCAGTGGCACTGGGTTACTGGTGTTTATTGATGACGTGACAGAAGACACAAGCAGCCGGATGAATTCTGAAGTGTACAGGGATATACTGTCTGCCCAGATTCAGCCAAATGGAGCAAAGTTGATTGGACAGTGCTAGGCCT